TCACATCACAGCTGATCTTCCAGAGTCACGTCACATCACAGCTGATCATCCAGAGTCACGTCACAGCTGATCATCCGGAGTCCTGTCACTTCCTGTCTGTTGCATTCAGATCCTCAAGGATTGTTCTTCAGTATCCCAGACTGGCATCCAGCATGGAGGACCCACTGCTGGTGTCGGCACGTGCAGCTGGTATCCCTAACCCCGAGGCGATGGCACCCGCTATAGCTTCTCCAGAGGTGGCGGCCCATGCTGCAGAACCTCCCGAGGTGGCGGTGCTCGCTTCAGCTCCTTGCGCGGTGGTGGCGCCCAGCAATGCACCTTCAGCCTGTCACGTCGCGGTCAAAGGAACCGTTAATGAACTCTACCTGTTTCCTGATGTTACTACTGTAGAACCTCCGTCCTGTCACGGCTATGGAAGCCGTCTGTGAACTCTCAGCCTTTTGTCCTGCTCTGAACCGGTCATGGAGACCCTTAATGAACTTTTGTCTGGTCGTGTCACCGATTAGGAACTCTTAGCGCAGTCTGCCACAACCAAGGAGGCCATATTACAACTTCCAACCATGCATGTAACTACCCCAGAGGCAGCACATGAACTTTATTTTTGCCCCAATTCAGCCGAGGAAGCGGTTTATGAACTCTCATCCCTGCCTGTCACTGCCATGGAGACCCTAAATGTCACGAATCCTGTCCATGGACTTCCGTTCGATCGCCACCAGAGGTCACCGTTCCTTTACATTGACTCTCACACTACACAAACTGTTGCATGTCATCCCGGATTACACATCCCATCATCCATTGCACTGATTGCACACAGCTGTAACCAATCACACATTCACTATATAACACCCACTCAGATCCTGCTCAAGTCGCCGAGTATTGTTTAGCGTATATCACGGTTTAGCTGATAGCTACCTTACGGAGTCTGCTTTAGTTTTCCTAGCCTTATCTTAGTCTTGCCTTGTCTGTTTTCTCGTGTTCAACTGACCCTCGCTTGTTTACCGGACTGCTCTTGCCTTGTCTTCTACATACCAGTTTGCCTTTGTCTGACCCATGCCTGTTTCTGACCACGCCTTTGTAAATAAAGCCTTGCACTTGGATCCGGACGTCTCACGTCTCGTTCGCCCCGTAACAGAATACTCGGCCAAACTAGGATCCAGCGGCTTCACCAAGGAACATTGGCCAGGTATGAATGCCGCAATTCTGCTGCTAGCACTCAAGCAGGGCACACGATCTGTATGTTAATAGACTTTTTCTGTGATGGTCTTAACCTGCCTTTAACCCTTTGGGGTCGACAAACGCGGATACGCGTTTTGTGGCATCTTCTCCTGATAACACCGAAAATAACTTAAATTACACTTTCAGTTTTGATCTTACAGATAAGAGCAATACATCAATCGAATCTGTAAATGGTCTACTTTTATTTTTATACATGCATAATAACAAAACTTTGTGCATTTATAAAATAAAGAAAACAAACAGGGTGCGCAGTCTGCCGCCTTGGTCTGCGTGATCTTCATTTAGAAACGCGTCATTAAAATGAACTGTAACTCAGCAAATACTCAACAAAGAGACATGAGAGATATATTTATAGAAAGCTTCACATGTCTACTTTTAAACTAAGCAAGTCTTATCGAAAGCAAATATTCTGTGATAAAGTAATCCATATGAAACCAACGCGATGTCCAGTCTTTCACGTCTCCCTTCATTATATCTAATGCGCCCACGCGCTGAGCGCGCTATAGATATTATAATCATCCACATGAAGCGCGCGGCGTGTAAACGCTGAGAGGAATAAGACAGAATTCACCACAAGAAGCGTTGGATTATCTCAGGAAAAAACAATGCAGCGGCTTGATCCAGCAGTGATCATAAACATGAGTAAGTCTTTTTTTATTAACCTACTTGTATTAGTTTTCACATAACTTGTACACATTTTACTAGTTAGACTTTCTCCAAACTATAATTCCTGACTAAATGTATAATCAAGTGAAACATTATGAAGTTTCATTCACAGCATCTAAATGTCACGATGCCAGGATGTTTTTTTTATGTTTTATAACAGACAGAAATACGATATAAAAGTAATAGGAGTTATAATGTTACTAGCCTAATGTCAGTAAGAATGATTAGTCAAAACTTTACTGTGATAGTATATTCTCGGTTCACGATTATAGCCGTATGTTTATAACTATAGTTTTTGGATTGAATAGGCCTACATACAAAGCATGCTTGTGTTTATGAATGTAACTAAGCTTCTGTTCATGAATATCTGCTCTGGTGTAAATATTTTGAATGTGTTATACCCGTGTCTTATGGAGTAATGACGCTAAAATGTTTGAAACTGTTTAAATTTTCGTTTGGGACTGTGGCTGCATCACCGGCATCTTGCACAAGAAAGGCAAATCCTGGAAAATCCTACTGAGTAAGTGCACAGTATAGTAATTGTAATTGTATTCCTAGAATATGTGGTAATATTATTTGTGGTGTTCAGAATCTTAGAGTAAGTGTGCATTCACTATTTGACAGATGTTACTTTCATTTGATTTAGTTTCTGCATGGTAAAATATGTTTGCTATGTGGTAATTGTGTTCTTTGTTTCGATAAATTAGTACTAGTATATTATTGTAGCCCAGTTTGTGCTGATTATGGTGCTACTAAACTTAGCCATTAAAATGTTTATTAGCAACTGAAAAAAGCACAAATGTCAGGACATGTCAAAACTTCTCCAGGGCCCAAAACACCCTCGGACCCCAGAGGGTTAAACCAGCCTTTAAAGTCAAGAGTGGTTCAAAAGGGATACCCATACTGTGCTGCACACTATTGACAATATTAAGCTGAAGCTTGACTTTGCAAAATTAAAATCGCAAATCAAATCGCAAATCGCAATGTGTAAAAAAAAAAAAATCGCAATTTGATATTTTGCCCAAATCGCACAGCCCTACAGGGTAATGATACCCATACTGTGCTGCACACTGAAGCTGAAGCTTGACTTTGCAAAATTAAAATTGCAAATCAAATCGCAATCACAATTATCTGTCAAAAAAAAATCGTAATTAGATATTTTCCCCAAATCGCACAACCCTATTACAAAGCCTTTTGGAGGTTTACAAGAAGACTTTGTATTTGTCATTTTAGATTAAGAAAACACGTGTTTGTAATAAGATGTGTTTGTAAGTAATTATTGTGCAGATCTTAATGTCAAGATATAGGACTTACGACTACACACATTGTAACTATGGGAAATATAATCCATTTTAACTTCAGTGGATACAATGTGTTCATTGTGTGTAATAAATCATCATACTTTTAAATGTTATAACCACAAATAAGTAGGTATTACAATGTATTATAACTCATGAGATGATACAACATATAATAAAGTTTTTTATGAGTCATTATGCATTCATTTATTCATAATTGTTATTGTGGTTTGAACTATTCCTGTAATGAGGTGAAAAAAAAAAAGTAATCAATGTCAAGGTGTCAAGACATAAGCAATGACAGTGTTTCTCATCAAGACATCACAAAAAATTTAAAAGGGGTGGTCAATCGCATTATTTTTCACATATTTTACCTTTATTCCACACCACTGTTTCCGTTCTCCTAAAAACGGTCTGTTGACTTCCTGTTTATATGAAGCCCCTGCCTCAGAAATACCCAATGGGCTCAGATTGGTTAGCTGGCCAAGTGTGCTGTGATTCGCTAACCGCCTAGTGCACGTTGTCCATAAACGTCACGCCCCTTACCATTACGGGTAGTTGCATGTGCTCCGGTGTATTGTAAACAATGGCGTCAACATTGCCTTATCAATTTGAGCCTGAATCAGACCCAGAGAATATTAGTGTAGAGCAGGGGTTTTCAACCTTTTAGGACATGCGCCCCCCCAAGTTTGTCTAATTTCACTCGCGCCCCCCCCCCATTACTGTATTCACACCGAATTACTTTAATAACATCAACATAACGCAAATATCCATTAAAGCTATTAAAGCAGGGAATGATTTTTCTTTTGCTCTTTTTGATTAACGTTTATATAAGAAATGCACGGATCCGTTATACTGATGTACATCTGATATTTTCTTTACTATTTACGTTCACTTAAAACAACCGACTGTGCTTACAAGGATACCTTGTCAAGACAGCCATTGGTATTCACCTGCTGTCTGAGAAGGCTATCTGTTTATGCACTTCCGATGTGTGCACGGTGCACATAGAAACGCTTTATCACAGCGCGTGCGTACCACACTGAGATGTCTTGGCCTTAAATGGCTTAAAATTACTTTGTTTAAACTGACAAGACTTAAAACACGTGAGAATGAAAAACTTTGAGGAAGCAGCACTGGCCTGATCGTTAAGATAGTTTTGGGGGGCTAAGGTGACAGATAGGGGTGCTGAAACCCACCTAAAAAGGGTTTAGAACCGCCCCTGGTATAGCGTGCGTAATTATACTGAAACATAAATATATAACCAGTTTACCTGATTCAATGTGATGGCTGAGCCTGTTTCTGAGATAACAACATGCCAATCCGTGGTTGGATTTCCGACACGGCTAACCGTAAATCATCTTACACTGTCAATAAGCGTGACTGATACTCGAGCCAAATCTGCTCTAACTGTCGACTAGCAGTGGGAGTCAGATTGCCCCCTAGTGGATGGCTAAAGATTTGCTAACTCATATTCATAAATCCTCAAGGGAATATCTCTGAATTAACTGATGCTCGCGCCCCCCTTGACAGGTGCTGGCACAGGTTGAAAACCCCTGGTGTAGAGGATCGAGCAGAACCTGTGCAAGGACGGATCTTACAGGATGGTATGTTTTTTTGTTTGTAGTTGTCTCATACTTTTTATATACGCTGTTATTTGTAAATGCTACTGCTGTTTATGTTATCTTTTGATATACGGGTTTATCTTTATTATAGCTTTAGTAGAACAGAATACACATTTGTGTTGTAGCATTTTTTTTTTTTTGAGTGATTGTTTAAAGGGGTCATATGACGTTGCTAAAAAGAACATTATTTTGTGTATTTGGTGTAGCTTGTAACACTCCAAAGAGAAAGGAAAATTTGAAATTGCATCATACGACCCCTTTAATTTATAACGGTAACACTCTACTACAAAAACTCATCTTCTCTAAAGCAGCCCAACATGGTCTCACCCCCTTTGTTGTGGGTTCCCAGGGGTAGGGTTTATGTAAATTTTAGGGTTTGTGATGTCACAAACCCAGGAAGAAGCTCATTGTAGTCCGTACCAGCCATTTGTTGTAAGCCTTAAAAGGCGAATTCTGTAAAAGAAAATATCTCCCTTTGCATTGAACTTTGAGCGTCATAACTTTGCAGATGTTGTTTATGCTCAAAAAGCAACATTACACACTAACTGATGTTAAAAAAGTGAAATCATAATCAAGGACCCCTTTAAGCCTTACTTGCTGTGGCTGAAATTGACAGCCTGATCACTTAGGATTTCAAAGATGATTGGCCGGTCACCCATGCAGTACTTCCTCATCACCTCTATGCAGCAGTGCATAGTCTTGCGAGATGGTTTATTGTCATGGAACAGATCCCCACCCAGCAAAACAAAGTCAACCTGAGAGAAAACGAGAGAAGCACTATAAAAAACAAATCTTATTAAATTTGACAGCTGATGGAGAAAATGCATAGTATGCCTACTGTACACTACAGTATACAGACATATGCATCTGTGCAGAAAGGCATCTATGATTTAGGGATGTTTGTGGTTCAGAATTCAGATTCCAATAGAATTCTTAAATTTGAATTTAACTGAGGCAGCAAACAGGATGCAGAATTTCAATTGGATTTTAAAGGCTGGAATACACTACACAACTTATTTATTTATTTTGAATTACAATTGTCTCACCAAAATGTTTGCACAAATATTTGTATTTGGGTTTTTACAATACATATTTAAGTAATTTTACAAAATAGGGCTTTACAAAATAACACTATTACACTTCTTTTTTATTCAACTATTCAGTTGCAGGATAATATTTATATTAAGAAAATACTTACAGAAATTTGTAAGTGTACTAGATGGTGCTATGGGTTAACTGTCTTTGTGCAATAGCCTATACCCTATGCACAATGATGCAAAGAAGTTTGCTTCAAACTTTAAATTAAATGCAATGTTTTCATAGGCAATGAGGTCTACTATCAGTGTCATTCAGTCTGGCCTTCATTTTACATTTGCACTTTTTCCCTGCCTGTTTGTTGTCATGGTTACGGTTATTATATGTCATTTCATTCAGCTGTGTTGCCACTAGGGTTGGGTATTGTTTGAATTTTATCGATTCCGATTCCACTTATCTATTCTGATTCTTATCATACTTATCAATTCCTAGTTTTGTTTCCAATAATGTAAAAACAAAAATAAAGTCAAAGATTTAGATATTTATTAACAAACATATTTATTCTGTGTATTTTTACAAAGCATTCGGTTGCAGCTGAATAAAATGAACAAAAAATCAGCATCCTACAGAACACTTAGGCAAGAGGAACTTTTAGCTATGGTTTTTAAAAAAATAATCACAGCAAAAAAAACGATTAATAAAATAAACTAATAGAAGACTAACATAATACATTTCAAGCATTAAAAGTAAACAGTCAGTAATAAAATAGGAACAAACAAATCAATGGACTACTTGCACAACTACTTCCGTGTTCTACTCAGTACAGCTCGGGAATTTCCGGTCAGCATTTAGCGAACCTACATACAGACCATTTCTCATGAGAAAGCAGATTATTACTACGTTTTAAGGCTGGCAATTCAAAAAAAAAATTATTCATATTCTCTGCATTAACATGTATTATCTTCAACCTGCTGAAATGTTCCTATGCATATATTTCTCTTCCAAATATGCATTCTGAATAATAAATACACTGAACAAAATTATAAACGCAACACTTTTGTTTTTGCCCCCATTTTTCATGAGCTGAACTCAAAGATCTAAGACTTTTTCTATGTACACAAAAGGCCTATTTCTCTCAAATATTGTTCACAAATCTGTCTAAATCTGTGTTAGTGAGCACTTCTCCTTTGCCAAGATAATCCATCCACCTCACAGGTGAGGCATATCAAGATGCTGATTAGACAACATGATTATTGCACAGGTGTGCCTTAAGGTGTAAATATATTTCCCCACTAACCTGCCGAGGTCCAGCGCTTGTCTTCAAATTGTTCTCTTACTGATATTTCATACCTGTTGAATTTACAGTTTTAAATTCATTTGACTGATAAAGACCCTTACAAAAAATAACCATGGTTTTACTATAGTAAAAGTGGTAACCATATTTTTTTTGTTTTTGTTTTTTTTGCGGTTTACCATTTGTATAACCAAATTTAAATACTATGGTTAAACTACGGTTAGTGTAGCAAAACCCGGGTTAATTTGTGGTTTATTATGGTTTCATTTGTAGTAAAACCACGGATAATTTTTGTAAGAGCAATATTGCTTGTGTGCGTTGGTGCTCCTATTCCAAAGTTTAAAATGGTTGAATGAATGTGTGGTAACTGCCTTAAAGAAATTGAACGATGTTAAACATTTAATAAATTTTAAACACTAAAGCGTTGACAGTGAGACTATTGAATATTCATATTTTGGCATTGCATACAGTGAAATGATTGTGAATGAAAAATGACACAGAATAGTGACTAACATATTTAATACAGATAAATAAAGGTTCATTCTGATCTTATTCATCAGATCTCACACATACTGCAGCATCACGATTACTAGTTTAGAGCACTGACACCCTGTGGCGAAACAATCACATATGTTTACGAGCCACTGCTTTATCAGATCAGATCAGCTTATGTTGGATTAAAACTTAAAGTTTGGTTGAGTTTGGAAAATTCTGCACACAGTCATCATCAGATTATCTCTTCTCCTGTCTCTGAAAATGTCCGGATTTTGAAATCATCCCACGGAATCTCATATTAATAGGCATTTAAGTCAACTAGTTGATTACGGCACATTGAAAATACACATAACCGGAAATAACCGAGTTGTATTATTTCAAAACGGAAGTGCGTCACGAGGCTCAGTGCAAGTAACTATCTCTCGTTTACAATATATTCAAAATTCTGCTGCAAGAATATTAACCCATACTAAACGATCTGCTCATATTACCCCTATCTTATTTAAACTCCATTGGCTTCCTGTATCATCTCGCATTACTTACAAAATTCTTCTGCTTACTTTTAAATCACTCGATGGTCTTGCTCCTCCTTATCTTTCTGATCTACTGTCTCCTTACATTCCACCTCGATCACTTCGATCTGCAGGGTGTGAACTTCTTACTGTACCTAGATTTCATCTATCTTCAATGGGTGGCAGGTCATTTTCAGTAATTGTACCTAAACTATGGAACTCTATACCACTGGCACTAAGGACAATAACCTCACTCTCTGTATTTAAATCACAACTCAAAACCTACTTGTTTACCCAATACTATCAGTCATAACATGTTCTTTAGACACTCTCCTCATCCTATACTACCAGCTATAATTCTCTCGGAGTATTTTCGTTCTGTGTATTTTTTTGTTGCATTTACTATTCTTTGTTTCTTATTGACACTACCCTTTTTCTGTTATTACTTATACTATGTTATGTATCTCTGTTTCCAGTACATAATTGTACCATGATATATAACTGCAATCATGTCTATCCACGGACTGGGCAAATGTCCACTTCATTTGATTAATTGATTGTGAAATGACTGTTTATGATTATGTGAATCGACTGTCTATTGTGTTACTGCTTTTGTACAGTGTCCTTGAGCTTAGGAAAGGCGCTATATAAATTAAACATATTTATTATTATTATTATTATTATTAGTATTATAAGTAGTCCATTAGCAATAGCTTTAATAAATAAAAAAATAAAAAATTCAGGTACAGAAATTGAAATCAAAAGTTTAAAAAAACTGCATAGTTTTCTTTTCTTTTAAATACAATACAGATTAATCATTAAAGTTACTAAAAAAAAGAAATTCAATCAAGATCACTGAATGATTTTACTTTGTTCTTTGATTAACATTAATGACAAGTCAGCGCACGTTTATTAGGCTGCTGTCTAAATCCTGATCTAAAAATACTGTTAAATATGCATTTTCTTTCTCATCTGTTTGCATTCACTTAAAGGGTTAGTTCACCCAAAAATGAAAATTGGCTTGTGTTTTACTCACCCTCGAAGCATCCTAGGTGTATATGACTTTCATCTTTCAGACGAATCCAGTCGGAGCTATATTAAAAATTGTCCTGGCTATTATGCGTTTTTGTAAGAAAAATATAAATTTTTAATGGACCATTTTTAATATAACTCCGACTGGATTCGTCTGAAAGAAGAAAGTCATATACACCTAGGATGCTTTGAGGGCGAGTAAAACACAAGCCAATTCAAATTTTTTGGTGAACTAACCCTTTAAGACAAAAAATGGCTGTCATTACGAGGATATACCGACGTAATTTTGTGCACATTAGTCGCAAAATGTGAAAGAAGTCAATTACAGCCTGGAACAACCTTTTCTGCAGTGGAAATGCACAGAACGGACATAGACAGGGAACCCGTGCCGGGACCATGGTTGTCCATGCTTGCGCTTCAGATGTATGCGCGGCATGCAAAACAGTGTGCTAGTTCTTTCCCTTCTTGCAATTAAATTGTTCAAAATCACATTAAAATGTGAACGCAGGAATCATTAAGCGGAATCTAAACGAATACCGAATATCAAATATCCAACCCTAGTTTCCACTAATCACCTCCTTTACACTGTGTACTTACATTAAGTTCTCTCAGTTTCAGTTCAGTTTGTCCTGTCTCGTCAATGTTATGTCTTTGTTGTTCTTAAACTACCCTGTGTTTGAATTGCCTGTGTGTTGGATTTAAGAAATATTCATCTTCTACTTTGTGCGTTTATATACAGCGCATTGTGACAGAAGAAGGACCCAGAAGTTATTTACTGTGGCAGTTTTTTTGTGTGTGCCTTTTTGTTTTTGTTTGTTTCCTTGTTTTTTGTTTCCCCTCCCTGCACAATGGATATACCCGCTGTTAAATTATTGTGCCTTGAGCAAGGAAACCGCTCCCTTGAAAAATTCCTCGACCTCGCCCATAAGTCACCCTTCTCGTATGACTGCCTCTGCACATTTTTGTTCGTTGGACTTAACACCACCACAAAGGCCCAGTTGTCCGGGGAGGGTCCTCGAGGGAGCTTCGCTCCCTTTGAGGAGTGGGTGCTGGTGTCCTGTGGATCACCGCTCACCATCGGAACTGAGGATGATGACACCAGTCCCACTCTCAACCCAGTGCCCAGCCAGAAACTATTAGTTTCTGACAATGAGCCTGCCGTGAGAGGTTTGGCATGACATGCAGTGGCACCGTCTCAATCTGTCCGGTGCGGGTAAATTAATTATAATGCTGAAGGTGAGGTACAATTCATATTTCCTTATTAAATAACTTAAGAGTAATTTGAAAACTTTCTGTGAGACATAATTTCACAAACAGTATGAGTGAATCACCACATGCTCTCTATCTTTCCCTCTCAAAATGTGCAAATGGCTTCAACTTAGGCCTG